AGATGGAAAACTCTACAGACTGTCGGTTCACACCCCATCACAAGCCAGCAAAACATCCACGAAACAAAGGTAGGTCTGTCACAGCCAAAAAATACACTCCAGACATGCCGCTGGCATATATATATATATATATATATCGTCACAAACAGAACTGCCCGGTAAACCGTAGGCAGAAAGAGAGAAGAGGACAACAAACGAGGGGCTGTGACAAACTGTTTCGTCGGAGTTTCACCGACTCATCAGGAGGCTGAATATATATTGGGGGGAGGAATTTAGGTATCATCCATCACACTGCACGATTGAACAAAAATTTTGTGAAATGCATTGAATTGATATACGGCAGGCCCACGGGACATCGCCAAGACAATGGCAACAGGGAGTGGGCTCTCCAGGGCGGCAGAGGCAGTAGCGTGGAACGACATTTTGGTCCAATGTTATGACAAATACGGCAACCCCACAGTGGCGGCCCCTGGAGATACGGTCACGATGGAGATATCTGCCCCTTTCCAAGTGGATAAGGAGGAATTCTTACCCGTCGGGAACGGCCAGTTCACAGGCAGATATCAGCCATATGACGAAGGACAGTTTTCTGTCAGCATTTCGATTGCCGGAACTCAGCTTGCAGGAAGCCCGTTCAAAGCTGAGGCCAAAACAGGTCAGTCACCCTTCTTGGCCACCCTTCTTGGCCTGTGTATCACCTCCATCCCTTTTTCTTTCTTCTTTACCTTTTTCTTTTTTTTAAACTCCATAGGAGGGAGACAGTTTCTCGGCCTTTTGGCTAACATCAAGTGTCGTATCTGTTCTGATCAGTTTAGTATCTGATCCGTGGTCCATCGGACCACAAAAAAAAAAAAAGAAAAAAAAAAAAAAAGAGAGGGTGTTGCTTTCTATTTCTTCCTTTGAAGTTTGAACCATCACTACTTTTCAGAGGCGAAGGCTAAGGGCCAGATCCCACTGGCAAACAGGATTGGAATAAGTGTGTGAATCTGGACGTGTTTGTGAAGAGGTGCAAAAAACTGTTATTGATCTGCTTTTCTGCATCTCTGTGTGGAACACGTCCAGATTCAGACACTTATTCCAATCGCCTTCGCCAGTGGGATCTGGCCCTAAGTCCGTGAAGAGAACCTATACTGCATTCTTTGGAGGCCGGGAGTCACCGGACCGCGCCAGCCAAAACGACAAAGGAAAAAAGGGCGCGCTGGCGCTGCAGCAAAGCCAAAGCTTGGCGCACTGTTCTACTCCGCCTCGGCAAAAAGAGGCTCGGAGGTAGTCGTGGTTTAAACCACCAGCACATCAGTGCCGCTCTTTGCCGAGGTGGATTTCCCCCCGAAAGCCAAGCTTTGCGGAAACGCCAGAGTGGCGCTTTTTCTTTTCGTTTGGCTTTTTTTTTTTTGGAACCTCCGCCAGTGTTAGTGCTGCCGATAAGAGCAGACACCACTAACACTTGGGGAGGGACTCCATCTATTGCTGGGGAGCATCACCTGCTGGAAATCGGGCCCAGCGTCCATTTTTACAAAAGAATGTCTGCACATGTCTGAGAAAAAATGAGAACAATGGCCCTGGGGCCTGCCAGCATTGATTGCCCTTCGACCCAGGGGATTTACTGAGCAGGCCAGTAGAATGTCCAATAGTGTGATCTATTGTGAGTTTGGAGGGATCACCGGCTGTTGGCCGGCCGGTAGAGTGTGTTGTAGTCCATTTTGAGCTTGGAGATCCACCTTTGCCTTCCGTATCTCTTCAGAGTCTTCACCCACAGCCGAAGGGCGCCAGATAAGTCGTTGAAAACTGATACCATTCAAGGGCTGCTGCTCGCTCCAAACCCTGGTCGATGTTGCCAGTTGCTCAAGTCGCCCATTGCCTTCTCCACTGGAAAGGCAGAAAAATATAGGATGAGCGGGGTCCTCCCCAGGGGGCTCCAGGGAGGATTGTGAAGGAGACAGGTTATGAGTGACACATTTAGAGCAAGATTTCTGCCAGTGACAGGGCGTGGGGTGGGAAGGAATCTGGGAAATCCGAGGGAGGGCGTAATGGGAACGAGGGCTCTATGTTAGTCCAGTCTTTGAACACCATGCGGTAATCTCTCATTCTTTCCAACTCTAGCAAACCCTTCTCCCTGATCCCCACTCCATTCTACCTTCGCGATCCATCCTTCCCTTTCCCCTCCTACCCAGTCTGTGCAAAAAGTCGTAATTTGTCTCCTGACATCTCCTATTTGTCTGAACTGGTCTAATTGAGTTGTTCTGTCCAGCCATCTGCGTGTGAGCTCAAGGTGTATCCGCTGCTTAATCTGTTCTGTAATCTCCGCGCCCTCCACCCGTACCCTTTCCATGGCCAGGGTGCATCCTTGCCACGAAAGTGCCCATATCAATGCCCTCCTCCCCAGTCTGTATATGTTCCCTACGAAGGCTGGCGCTGCGCTGTCGCCCCAAGCCTCTGAACCTTCTTTTTTTTTTTTTTTTTTTTTTTTTAAGAATGAGCCAATTTTGCTTTTCAAGTTTGCCTGTGCCATGTGCTGGTGGTTTGATACCACCTCCCTGTTCTCTCTTTTTTTTTTTTTTTTTGAAACATCGACCAGGGGGCTGCTACTGCAGACAGGGAGGGATAAGGGCCCATGACTGATGTAGGGACACCCAGGGCCAGGATTGATGGCTGGGGAGGAGCATGTGCTGGGAACCGGGCCCCGTGTCCTTATGTCACAGCCTTTTTTTTTTTTTTTTTACTATATCGTCAAATTACAGCAATGTCTTTCGAGGTTATTGCATTCTTAAATGACTTTTTCTAGCTCTTGTGTTTGGCTGCATCTCCCTCGGGTTTCTCCTTCAAGTTTCTTGGGAGTACCCACCAACACCTGTCCTCCATCCACACCAATGGATATAATAGGCTTTGTTCGGACACCTCAGACCATAAGCCACCGCTCTGTCTTGGCCACTTTTTGTAATTCCTGTTGACCTTCTCCACCCTTTGGAAGGGTTTTTTGTGTTAGGCCTCCAACCTTTCAGGAGGCCGAAACGAAACGACGGCCGCCTATAGGCTCGGCCTCCTGAAAGTTCGGAGGTAGACCTACTTGTTGACAATAGGCTCAGAGGTACTAGTGGTTTAGAAGAAGGAAAAAAAAAAAGAAAAAAAAAAGGGTCTTTGATATCAACATGAAATGACACTCAGGAAACATGTTGCCCCCACCCCCCCCTCCCCTCCCCCCTCCACTCCCCCCAACACAGAAAATGTGCTGCCAAACAGATGTGTCGCAACTTTGGTTCCAGCTGATATGCTCGTAGCCGGCGAAATTGGACGCGTGAAAATAGCATACAATTCGAGCAAACTGCGCTTGCCACAAGGGAGTGACTTTGGAGTCAGCCTGGTTCGAACCACAAGTTCCGCCACCATTGCATCGGCCGCCTTTTTGGTTTGGAATGTGGCAGCAACCGACAGCTCTGGCGTTGTGACGGGAGTGTACGCCCCTGAAGAAAGCACACGTGGCGTGGTTGTGTTCAAGTACTCCATCACCGAAGCCACGACGACATACATTGCATCTGCTCGCCTGCATGGCACGGATGTCACCGGAAGTAAGGCCACAATAACTGTCGTTCCAGGTAAAGCCTCTATGGATCCAGCCGGGCAACCTTG